TGATTGCATTGTTGTTTAAAATTTTTTTCCACGTTGGATGTGCTTTAGCGTCGGTAAATTATGTGTTCGCAATACACTATTACTTATAATCGAATCCTCTTTATCTTCTAGGAGTTACGGCTATTTTTAGAAAGACGTAATTATTGGAGACGACATGACTAAAGTAAGTGAAAAGAATTCTTCTCATGTGTCTGTAAAAATAGCTGCGATAGATGAAGAAAAGGAACATTTAACAAATTATATGAAGAAATTGAAAAATGAAAAAGAACAGTGGGACGAGATGCTTCAGAACTATAATAAGAGTGCCGATATTGCAAAAAGGTTTGCGATTTCATAAACTTTAATTAGTTCTTAGATATAAATCGATTGGTAGCAACATTTGCATAACATTCGGACATCAAAATGTGAAATTTTGTGAACTGCTTTGATAATCTTGTTGCTTTTCAAGACACCATTAACATCATGAAGTTTGAAGCTTCTTTACTTTCTTGTATCTCATAGATCGATTTTGAGGAGTTATAAAACTGAAAAAATAATATGGAATGGTAATAGCTGAATGCTCAGTTGCAAGTTAATATTCTTTTAATTTCATTGGAAGAATCGTTTTTGCTTCTTGGAACTTGAAAAAATTTTTTATATAAATAAGTGCGAGAATTTAGTGAGATGAATAAGCCAATTGTGCTCAGTTCGAAACGTGTAGAAGAGGTACGCACTCAGTACATAGGTATCAGGGACGGCCCATCATCTTTCGATATTGCTCTAGCAATGAGACATGCTTTGCAGAAAAAGGCTGAATTACAGGTTCTTATTATTTATTTATTTTTTGAAATGAATTAAAGTGTATATTAAAAAATGGACAGGGATTTTAAATTTAATATCTCTTTAAATTTTATTATCTTTTCAGGTATCACAAAATCAAAAGTTGAAAGCTGAAATGGCAGCTATCGAAGAGAGATTTCATCGATTGCAAGAGTTAATCAAAATTCAGGAGAAATATTTGAATTGCGAAAACAAAGATAAACTTTTAGTACAAAAAGCGGAATGCGATGCTACTCTCTTGAAAATTGAAAACTGGATGGCAAAATTTGGTTTTTCTGAACGTCTTGCTGCTATTTGAAACTGCTCGTTGATATCACAATTCCTTTGTATATTTTTTGCTTCCATAACATTTTTGTGAAACTTCATCATTCTCGCAATAATATGTGATATGAGCTTTCTCTTAGGTAAGACATTTATCAGAGTACTGAGTGAGTAATTTTTTAAGAAGGAATTGACGGTTTACATGTGCATGTGGGACATTCTATATGTTCTTCAACTTTTATCGATAACTGAGTGGTTTTTTAATGATATTTATCATTTCCACTTTTTTTATATATTAGTGAAATCATTTTGTTAACAAAACGATCTTTCATGCAGAAAAAAATCTTTTTTAAACGACAACATTTATACGGCAATTTAACATGCTTATGAGTATGAGTAAGATGTATAGACAAAGTCTTTCATCAACTAACAGAGGAAAAAGCTTCAATATAATGTGATAAGTTTAAAATATTATAATTACTCTCAAGTCTATTTAATTATAGAACTAATTCAATCAGAATTCTTGTAATATTCAATAAATCCAAGGCATCATAAGTAGAAATTTTTACATAAACATCAGTGCATAATTGCCAAGTATTTCAGTGGACTTAAGGAATAATTAAATGATTCCCTAAAAAATGGTATCATTTAAATGAATAATCATCACGGAACATACGTTTCCATTTCTTCAACATTAATTGCAAAGCATGTATATCCAAATTATTGGAATCCGGATTTGGACTATATCCGTTAACAAGTAAATATGGTACTTCCGATATACGGTTTGGCGTAACGGACATTGTACGATGAAATGCTTTTCGTTGCAGCTGTATGCCACGTTCTGAATCGTAACACCGTCTAAAATGTTTTTTTTTTCTACTTTTTTCTCGTTTTTTTTATTTTTAAACAATAAACGACTAAGGATATGATAATTTGAATTTTTTTTTTCATAGCAATAATAAAATTAGAAGAAACATTTCATCCAATTAAATGTTCTAAAAAAGTGAGAAGGAATAATGAAGTGATACTTTCAGAGCTTCTCTTTTTTTCTCTTTTTATAATTTTGAAAAAGCAAAAAAAAAGTGAACCTAATTCGTCGATAATGATTACGGATGAAACCGGAACAATGTTGAAATGCCGATTCCACATTGCCATTAACAAGAGATCGTTCGAAACAGATTATGAAAGCCAAGGCATGTTTCATTTTTGCATATTCCAGAACACAACTTTGTAATTTATTAGCATTGCATTCAATCGATCCATGGTTACATCGTATAGTACCATTCTAAAATTTTCAATCAGATTTTAAAAAGGAATCTTTCCTGTCAATTGAAAATTTAAAAAAAATGATTTGTAACTTTTTTTTCTGGTGAAATTATCGACGATTCCTTTGTCTATTGGTTTACTTCATTTTTGCATACAAATCATAATTTCGAAATGGTTTGATATTTTATGAGATAGAAGTATATTTACAATGATTTCCCCGCTTTATTATTGCGAATTAAATTTTTTAATGCTAGAAATTTTCAAATCGACAAATTTTTATTTTATAAAAAAGTTCGAAAATTTTCATTAAATTTTTTAAAGGAAGTAAAATTTTGCAGTGAATATAGTTTTTCCCAATAGTTAGTAGGAATTTATTGTTCAATAAATAGTACAATTTACCGGGTGCAGTTTATATATTGATCCTGTTTATAATTTAATTTAAGTTTACTTCATTTCTTTTTTGTTGGTTTATTTTATTAGCATTTAATATTTAAGGAAAAAAAGACAATCAGCAATTTTTGAAAATTAACTTGCTTACAAAAATGTTGATGTTACTATAGATTACGGCTAACATTTTACTGTAAAAAAAAAATATAAGATGAAATGAAAAGAACGAAGAACTAATTTAATAGAAATTATTAAACAAAGAAATATTATTGTACATTTATATTTAAATTTTCAAACATAACATTTATTAAAATTGAAAAATAATTCAATGCTTTGTTGAATTTAATGGAATTTTATTAGTGATTGGTACAGGAATTATCGATGCTTTACTAAATCGGATGTATAATTATTTTATTAATAGTATCTTGAAAAATAACTTTTTAATATTATTTCCTTGAGATATTTTACATTTCCATTTTCTTATTAACAGTTTTTCTTTTTTTTGCAATTCTTCGAAAATTTGTTTATTTTCTCCCAATATAATAAATAATATTTTTATTTGTTTATTTAACAAATTTTAAGTTGGAATTTTTTTTATCGATAGTTTTTTTTTGCTTTCTTTTCTCGTAAATTTTTGAAGCTTTGTTAATATTCTCTCAGCACAACAAATGATGTATGAATTGCAAATTTGTAAAACGATAGCAAGTGTAAAATGATAATTTATGAGTAAATTTGAAAATGAAGTCTTTTTTCGATGGAAAGATTGCAAGGGAAATCTTTCTGATCACTGCTCCCAAACAATGAAATGATTTATTTGCACTGCGGCTGTCTGATCTGTATGCCTTTAAAAATTTTTTAAATTTTCAAATTACAAACTAGCCATGCTTTATTTATAGTAATTGTTATCACTCCTATGCAACTTTTTTATGCAAATATTAATTAATAATATTGTTGCAAAAGATAATATTAAAGCAATAAAACTCGCAAGTTTCGTTTTGCAAATATCATTTTAATGTTAAATTAAAAATTTGCTCGATATTAAATAAGATTTGTGAAATAAATTTCATCATTTGCTGGGATATAACAAAACTTATTAAAATTCTAGAAGTTAAAGGATTTCGAAAAGCAACTTTAGTTATAAACTAATA